ATTCTCAACTTATGAATTCAATATTTAGTGATATTTTTTTCATATTTCCTTTCAAATAAAAGTTTAGTGTTGTTATATATATGTGGCAATTTTATTGTTTGTCATGTATTAATAGAAAGAAGGTCGCCTATGAAGTGATTATTGATTATTTGTTTCATATTGTTCTACGAGAAATGTTTTTTACTGATGTTTTTTCTTTTTATCCGATACTTGTGTTGTTACTTTTGCTCAAATATGTAACTTTTTAAATAATAATAATAATAATAATAATAATAATAAAGTGATTTTTGACTTTACTTTATGATCTTCATTGGATATTTTTATTATAATTCTTATTTCAAATAAGTATACGGTCATAGGCCCAGAATAGCATACCGCCCATAGGCCCAGAAATGGTCAGGACTGGCCCTGATGACAATGACGATCAAAAAATAATATAATGGCAATGATGGAGTATCGTATTCGAGTATGAGATTCATTATATGTAATACTCGCACAATCGCTCGATTCATTTTGGTCTAGAGATATTACCCGAAATAGGACTAAAAAGGTTTGAAAATTCCAAAATAGGACTGTCATGTTTTTATTCCCAAAATGAGACTAATTACTGTCATGTTTTGGCAGTACCAGACTTCAAACATGACAGTATTTTTCAAACTTGACAGTAATTACTCCTATTTTGAGAATAAAAATATGACAGTCCTACTTTAGAATTATTAAACTGTTTTAGTCCTATTTCGAGAATTTTCCCTTTGGTCTATCCACTAACCTATCCACTAACCTCTTCTCAGCTTGTCTCAAATTAGAACTCTAAATCATTTTTCTATCATTTTTATTTTATCAAAATTCAATAATAATTACTTCATCCATCTCAAATTATATTGTAAATTTGACTTTTTTGGATATCAATTCTTAATTAAATTTTAATTTGGATCTTGTAACTTCATAGAGATTTTAATGTAGTTTTGAATATGTAAATTTTAATTATTAAAATTGATTTATTCATCAATAGGGAAGATTTATGTTTAACATTGATGGTTCAAAAAATATTGAATTTGCAAAACAAGTTGGGACGGATGTATATGAATTAAATATTCTTAATAATTATACTAGCCTCCTCATACATCAAACTTAGCGGACAAGATAGTATGTTTTAATAATACTCTCTCCGTATTTAAAAGTTCCCTAAACTTTCCTTTTTGGGATGTATTTAAAAATTCTTACACTTTCCTTTTTGGGTAAGTTTTTCCCTTAAAAATACTCAATCACCCTTACTTTTTCTACTTTTTATCATCTATTTCCTACGTTTTAACCTTCTCTCCTACTTTTTCTATACTATTCATTACCTTTATTATTCTTTCTTAAATCTTGTTTCATAATCAAACGTAGACATGTTTTAAATACGGAGGGAGTAATAAACTTGAAAATAGTTAAAAATAATAGATCACTACAAGTAAAAAATGATTAAGTATGTGTTACTAGCTTAGTTCTTTAGAAATTACTTCAAATAGAATTAAAACTATGGCAAAAACTCAAAATAGAACTTGCTATGTTTTTATTCCAAAATAAGACCATATTAGTCCTGTTGGAAACATACCTATTTTTTCATTCCATTTTTACTCCTTCTTTAAATATGAGTAAAAGAAAGGCAAAAGTCATAATTAAATGTTTAATTCATAATAAATTCAAAACAATTTCAAAAATGCGTAGAAAAATAATTAAAAAATTAATAAAATATTTATTACAAAACATAAATTCTTTAAAAAATAATGTTTTTAAAAATTAATAAAAAAACAGAAAAACTCCATAAAAAATTTAAAATAATATGGATGAATTTCCCACCGCATGTACTACCTCCCTGTAGCACCACCTCTGATCGGTGTAATAAACCATTTTTTCTGAAAATGCCAAAAAAATGGCATATTACTCTTTGAGAATGCCAACATTTTCATTATTTCTGCCATAAATATGGCATTCGTAATGAATTTGGCATTTTTTCTTCTGGTGATCGGAGGTGGTGGTACTGCCTCACTGCACCACCACCCCCGACCGGTGAAAAAACATGTATTTTTTTACTAAAAACTGCCAGTTTTTTTTTTCTCAAAATGCCAAAACAATGGCATATTTCTCTATGAATGCCAACATATTTATTGTCCATAAATATGGCATTCATATTAAATTTGGCATTTTTCCCTAGGTGACTAGAGGTGGTGGTGCTGGGGCGGCAGAGGCGGTGAAGATTTTTTTCAGTTTTTTATTTTTTAAATTTTTTAAAAAAAATCAATTTTTTAATTTATTATTATTTAAAAAAAAATATTAAGTTTTTAGTATTTTTTATGAATTTTTATTATTTTTATTATTTTATTATGAATTAAAACATTTCAATAGCTATAAGGATATATTGGTCCAAGACACACATAATTAGTCCTATGAAAACATAGTTTATTTTTTGTCCTATTTGTGCAAAGTGAGTGACTTTTAGTCCTAGTTTGACAATTAACCCTTAAATTCTTTCACGGTTATGCGCTAATCTATCATAACAAAATGTATTTGTCTTGAATTTTGTAGAATAATTGACAAATTAATGAATGCCAAAATATGTTATTTTATTGTAATACCATTATTATTTAAACATGTTTTTAAATTATTAAACCATTACTCCCTCCGTCCCTAAATAAACTTCCAACTTTCCTTTTTGGTTTGTCCCAATTAAAACTTCTAATTTGTCTTTTTGGTAAAGAATTTGTGGTTCACAACATTTCTTACGCATTTCTCTCTCTTCTTCACAATTCTCCTCCACACGAATACCCATTATCTTAAACTGTGTGCCCAACCCATTTGAAAGTTTTATTAGGGACGGAGGTAATACTAAAACAAAATTTATGAAAAAATGTAACTATTAAAATTATATATCTTCATGATCAATAATACCGTGTAGAACTGAACATAATCGTAGTTATTAAAGCTTACATTTGTGGTCACACTACACAAAACATCAGGCTAGGACTATTCCTACCGAAACATATATATTTGGTCGAGATTTCTGCACGAACTTGGCAAGGATCCACGAGTCCATGTAAAATCCGTGACAAAATCTGATCCAAAACCATTTTTTCATGAACTTGGCAAGGATCCACGAGTCCATGTAAAATCCGTCACAAAATCTGATCCAAAACCATTTTTTTCATGAGTTGTATCAAAAATAAGTTTTCATTTGTGTCAAACTCGATCCATCCTTGTCAATTATGTGTCAAGTCCGTTATCTTTTTTTTAAGCGTCGCTATATATATATATATATATATATATATATATATATATATATATATATATATATATATATATATATATATATATATATATATATATATATATATATATATATATGATTTAGGATCACATACAAACTCATCTTAATTTACAAAGTGCAAACTAATCCTGATCATCCATTTGAATGATCCTACGGTGTATTAACTTGAAAGATGGAAAAAAAATCCTACGTAACTGCCTAACCCATCTACTTGAGATAAAATAGGAAATATCTCCCCACTTACGGCTGAATCTTAGTTGCCAAAATATTTGTTACCATTGATTTTGTAATTTTGGACGGATGAGATGAATTTGCATTTTGTATCGGAAGCACACTTTGTATCCGATCTTAACCCATATATATATATATATATATATATATATATAGGGACGAGTTCAAGTAAAAAGTAGTCTTCCCATGAAAAGTGAGAACAAATCTTGGCCTTTAATCACTTGCAAATGGATGGACTAGATGAAATTTAATCACAATACACGTTGTCAAAAAAGTGCAAAAGTTTATAGTATAAAGTGGATAGATAATAAACAAAAGTGTACTCATAAGTGATAAAAAGATTGTTAATTTGCTTTTAATTTGTGCAGATTTTATTATGTACCGTAATGCACCTTTTGGCTCTACATTTGCACTTTTTGAAATTCGTCGTATACATTTGTTACAATAATTTCATTCAAAGATCATCATAATTACCAAAATGCCACCGCGTTTCCAACTTAAAATTTGATCTCTTCCATCCATTTTTTCACATCAATGGCCAAGATTAGTTCTTATTTTTCATCTAGGAACCACTTTTTATTTGATCCAAAGTCTATATATACATATATATATAGGGTAATGCTAAGGTAAGGTAGGCCTAAGAATTGTAATTCTTAGGCCTCTTTCATTTGAGGTACTTTCGGGTCGAATTTTTTGATGAAATTTTGTGAGCATGTACTCTATGGATTGAAGATTATGTCCACCAAGTTTCACAAAAAAAATTCTATCGGGAAGTCATTTAAATAAATTATTGAAAAATAACTGCATTTTATATATGTAAAAACCTGCGCAATTTTGAAAAAATTATTTAACCGACTTACCGGTTGAATTTTATTCTGAAATTTGGTGGGCATAGTCAACACTTCATGGAAACGTACTACTTACAATTGAATAGCATAAAATGTACTCCCTATTGGAAAAAAATGTATAGTAGTGTACATACCACATGTTCCTTGGTCCTTGACTGGAGTTACGGCACGTTGTTCTACCCAGTCCCAGTTGTCCGGCCCACTACTCATCGGATCTTGAGTGGCAAATGGCTTTTGCTGGTTTGAGGCTTTGGGCTTGTGACCACTTGCATATATCTCACGGAACTCGCGGTTGGTCAAGTCTGTAAATTTGTTGATCCCAAGCTTGTAGCTCTGGTTGGATTTCGCGTTAAATGTGTTTATGTAGTTCACGTTTTCCTCGAATATTTTGAAGCGGAGACGGTGTTCATCAAGATGTGAGTAATTCTTTCCGTGAAGAGTCATCCATTCCTGGTGTAGAGCTTGCATCGAAAAATTAGAATCCTGCGCCTGATGAATTCCCAAGAATATCATGAGGATGAGCAAGCAGAAAGGGATTTCGGAGGCCATTAATTGCACATATATAGTAGTTTTTCTATGTCCAAGGCTCCAAGCTAAGCTAGCTGACGGATATATATATATATATATGTATTCAAGTAAATATAGAACGATGTGATCATTAAAGTTCTGGTGAGGTTGGATCCATTATACTAGTATTAGCTGGATGGGCCGGGGATTATATATGCAAGCTATTAGCTCGCTAGGGTGCTTAATGTATACGATAGTATATGCTAAAGTACGTATATACCAAGTACTACCTCCGTTCTCTTTTAGTTGCAACGTTTGACTTTTTGCACTATTCACATATTCTACTTTGACTACATTTTATTAATTGATACGTAGTATATTATAAATTAAATTTTTTAAAAATATTGTTAAACTCTTTTCATTCAAAATTTTCAAAATATGAATTTTTTAATTTTTTTACTAATACGGAATGAAAGATATTAATGGTCAAACTTGTGCGTTGGCAAACGTGAAATGTTGACTGTTGCAATTAAAAAGGAACGGAGGAAGTATAATGTATATGCCGGCCGACTGGCCGAGTACGTATTAGCTAGACTAGACTTTAGGAAATGTTTGTTTCTTTTAATCCGTATATTGAGGGATGCCTTGACTATCTGTACGTAATTCCTAGCTTGCTACTTTACCAGATCTGCTTACGCACGCAGTTACGCACCCTGATCGATCTACATCAACAGATCAATGGACTCTTATGCAAGTCCATCAACACTTCATTAATTAATAATCAATAAATATCATAGATTCTTGAATAAGTACTCCGTAATAAGTAGAGACCACAAATTGTGGCATGGAGTTTCCGTCCCAATTCAATACACAACACAATCACACTTTAGTTTATCATGGATATATGGGAGAAGGCCAGGGCCGGCCCAAGACAAGTGCCACCAGTGCGACCGCACAGGGCCCATAAATCCGGATGGCCCAATTTTTAATAATCCTCCTACTTCAATAATTTACTCAGAGCCCAATAGTTTTTCCCATGCTTCATTAAAAATTTCAAGTAAGGGGGTTTCGAACCCTAGCCACTCTCTAACACAGACTGTAAGCCATCTCAATGTGGATGTTAACATTCATTCAATTTTCGTTTTTATATCATACTATTATTTATATTAACTTTACTTATTGATATTAATTTGTAATCATAATAGTAACTATATATTTATGAAATGCTCATTGCGTTTATCAATGTTATTTATAAATTATCTATTTAATTACAAACACATCTTAAATTTATGACTATTTTATAAAGTGATAAATTAATTGATATTCGTGTAATTTCCGATTGTATGTTTGTATTTTTAACTAGTTTTTATTAGTTCTAGTTGTGAAAATTACACACTTTTGGTGTAATATTTTAGTTTCATTTTTATTTGTAATTTGTTTAGATTAGGATTATTCTGAGATAAACGGGTCAAAGATCATCCAAGGGATCAAGATTGGACCTTAAAAGATCCAGGAAAGTGCAAGGAGATAAGAAAGATTTTGATTTGGAAAAAATACTCATGTACCCGGTCGGGTATTGCCTATACCCGATCGGGTATTCACTTGATTCGATTGTCCAAATCAAATCTGGGAACAAATGATCGTGGGAGAAAATTTTCGTGAAGATTTGTCACATACCCGATCGGGTATGCCGACATACCCGATCGGGTATGCCCAAAAAAGTGACTTTCTGGGCAATTTCCTAAGATACCCGATCGGGTATCCTATATACCTGATTGGGTATCAGACCCTGCAGCTCCCAAAAGCCTATAAATACACCCCTTTCCTTCCCAATAAAATCACCAATTCCTATATACTTCTAAGCTCAGTTTAGACAAGTTATTTCTTTATATTTTCTTCATGTTTAGTCTCCAAATGAGGAGCTAAACTCTTCCATCTTGGTTTTGCTACTTTGAAGCTTAATGAATTGTAAGTTGTGAGTTATTTTCTTTAATCTTCTTCCTTGAATATTAATTAATTCCTATTCCTATTACATATTAATATTTTGAGCATTACTTAAAGGATCAACTAGTTTTGTTTCATATATTAATTAATACTAGAATCGGTCGATTAATACGCTTGTTATTAATTCGGTCCTTTCACGGTAGTAAACTTGGATTATTAATGCATGCGTCTCATGGTTAATAATCTAAAGGGAATTAGTTATATTGATTAAACCGATAAACCGCTTGTGTTGAGGTTATCAATCTCAATCGTTTTCATCTCTATTTTATTGCTACTATCGAGTGAATATACGGCGCGTGTTCTATATTAACTCGGTAGTAAGTTTTATTAATGAACGCGTCTCGTTATTAATAACTACCCTCGATGAATTGGATATACTCCTCGATTGAGTATCGAGAGGAAGATAGTTAAAGATATAACTGGGATCGACGAACATTTCATTAAGTGGATAAAAGAAAAGCCAAGCCTTCTTCTCATTAATTAAACCACATAAGTCGTTCATCTTTGTGTTTAAATACAATTTAAATTCATCAACCAAACATACCCTCCCCCCCCCCCCCCCCTTGTTACTTATTTATTTCTATAAAAAGAGAAGTGTTCCTTTCCCTGTGGATACGAACCTTACTTCAATATACTACTTATATTTGTCGTATTGAATATTTATTTTGAGCGCACACCACGACAAAGTGCATGTCATTAATTTTTAATTTATTCATATAACCATTGATAAATTTTGAATGTGAGTTATTTTTAATACCTTCTTTTTGTCGATACACATTGAGTGGATTGACCAATCGTTAATCGGACTTACCCTCCCGAGTCCGGTATTGATTGCTTGTCTGAGTTGCCTCAATATCTGGTTTGAACAACAGCGTATTTGGGTGTTTCCAATTCGAAGCTTGAACGCTCTTCCCCAAAATTTAGCCACACACACCAATGTGATATGCTTTTTTCTTCAATTAATGGAATGATAAACGGTCTAATTTTAGATTTGATTATTCTCTTTTGCTTTATAGAATATGGAGTAATAATCTTATTTCTATTAAGTACTCCGTAATAAGTAGAGACCACAAATTGTGGCATGGAGTTTCCGTCCCAATTCAACACAACACAATCACACTTTAGTTTATCATAGATATATGGGAGAAGGGCCAAAAGGCTCAAAAACGACATTAAGGTTATTAACGAAGTTCGGATAAGACATTAAACTTTTAAGTAGACCAAATAAACACAAGATCAACTTATTTGGACTATATTTGGCCACCCACTTATAACTCCGCTAAACCCACGGTTAACTGCTTACGCCTCTGTACATAATTATTCACCGGCTTAGACAACTCCACTCCCGCATCTCTGTTTCACTTTCCATCGCCATTAAGTTTTGTCTCTAAACCTTTTCAATCCCTCCATCTTCATTCTTCAATTGACAGCTCGACTCTGAACCCATTAAGCCCTCCAACAAGTCCCAGCCTCACCTTCTCCTTTCACTCTCGTTGCACCCTTCTCCGCCCACAGGTCACAGATGCTTTCATGGAATAATCTTCTATCGGAGCCCAAGACAGAAAGTGTGTTGGCATTTCATTCTTCTATTATGCTGTTTTCAGTCCAGGCATGTCGTTATTTTCCTCCAAAATAAATGAAAATCAAAGCTTAATTTGACCATCAGTTCACATATATCTTTGTTTCAAAATAGTGGGCAGAGAAAAATTACCAGAAGGATGAAGTTCTCAATCTAGGCCAACCAAGTGGAATTAATTCACAAAGGAGAAAGAATCTGAGCAATCAATTTCTCCTCTGCTACTGTTTTCATTGCTCTATCCAATTGCAGGTGCAAGTTGTGATTCTTGTAGAGTTCTAGGTCTGCCGGCCAGAGTCGGGTTTTGGGCGAAGAGAAGGTATATGTGTGGGATTTGGGTTTTCAAAAGTTGGTTGCTATTGAGTTCTAGCGTCTACCGGAGAAGAAATGAGAGATGAGTCTAATTTGGGTTTTGGACGAAGATAATTGAGGGCAACATCCGTTAATTTAAGTTTGACGGAATAAGTGTCCTAATATGACGTAAAAACGTATAACTTGTGTTTATTTGGTCTACTTAAAAGGTTAATGTTTAATCCGAACTTCGTAAATAACCTTAGTGTCATTTTTGAGCCTTCTCCCTAGATATATCAAGGGAGAATTCTTCAAATGGGACCAAATGGAACTTTAATTGCCAAAATAGGACCATAATTTAAAAATTCCCTAAATAGGACTAACTTTCCAAATATACCCTTTCTTTCTTTTAATACAATTCATATTTCATTAATAATTAGAATATAAAAGTAATAACATAATTTTATTTATAATAAAAATGTAAAAAGAATAAAAAACATGAAATAAATATTAAATAGAATTAATAAAAATAATAACAAAAATTGAAAAATAAAAAATTATAAACAAAAACTTAAAAAAATAAAATAAAATAAATAAATAATGAAAAAATATTAAAAAATATGTAGGTTTATGCTTCCACCTCAGCAATCTCCCAGCACCTCTAGCTCCGATCACCGGAAAAAAATGCCCAAAATTGTCTGAAATGCTATCTTGATGGCAGTTTCGAGAAAATTTTGACACTTTCAAAGAGAAAAAATGGCAGTTTTTCACAAAATGGAATTTTTTTAGCCGAACAAATGTAACTTGGGTGGGCAGTAGCTCAGACTGTGGGAGAGGCCCCATAGTCTTAAAGTGAGGATGCCGGCGCAAAGAAATTTGTTGTTGGTCGATTCCTTGATTTTAAAATGGTGGATTCGAAGACGGTCTTGAGTCAAGTTGAGGAGATGCAAATGATCTTCAACGAAATTCGAGATGAAGGAATGACGGTTAGCGAGTCTTTCCAAGTGGCGTCAATTATACATTTGTTGCCGCCGGCTTGGAAGGATTTCAAAAACTACCTTAAGCATAAGCGAAAAGAAATGAACTTGGAGCAATTGATCCTCTGTCTGCGGATTGAAGAGGATAACCGGAAGAACGATGGGAAACTCCCAATCATTAACGGCGCCAAGGCAACGTGGTGGAGCATGCAAAGGACTCCAAAAAATAAAATTAATGGGAAGAGCAAGCTCGGTCCCAAGGGAGGCGTTTCCAAGACGAAGTTTAATGGAAAATGCTTCAATTGCAATGAAAACGGACACAAGTCTGCGGATTGCAAGGCACCCAAGAAGAAGGACTCTCACGTCAACTTGGTGCAAGGTGGGCAAAAGGATGACGACATAATCCTTGCGGCTGTGGTGACCGAGGTCAACCTCGTTGGATCCAACTCCAAGGAATGGTTTGTGGACACCGGTGCTACCCGACACATTTGCTCCAACCGGGAGCTATTCACGACCTTTGAGCCGTCAAATGGTGAGAAGGTGTGGATGGGAAATTCTGCTCATTCCGCGGTGGAAGGCGTGGGAAGGTGGTCCTGAAGATGACTTCGGGCAAAGAGCTGACTCTTAACCAAGTGTTGTTCGTTCCGGAAATACGCAAAAACCTGATTTCCGGTTCATTGTTGAACAAACATGGTTTTTTAGTCGGACAAACTAGTTTTGACTATGTCGGGAATGTATGTGGGCAATGTGACGGGCTGTTTAAGCTCAATGTAACGACTATTATTACTAATAATAATAAAATCCCTTCTGCTTACTTGCTTGAGTCTTCCCATGTATGGCATGGTAGACTAGGACATGTTAATTTTAATTCTATACGTAGATTAATTAACATGGAACACATTCCTAAATTCACAATTGATGTGAAGCACAAATGTGAAGTCTATGTAGAGGCAAAACTAACGAAAACGTCTTTCAAATCGGTTGAAAGAAAAACGGAACCACTAGAATTAATTCATAGTGACGTTTGTGATTTTAAATCAATACAAACACGTGGCAGTAATAAATAGAGATATTACCCGAAATAGGACTAAAAAAGTTTGAAAATTCCAAAATAGGACTTCCATGTTTTTATTTCCAAAATAGGACTAATTACTGTCATGTTTTGGCAGTACCAGACTTCAAACATGGCAGTATTTTCCAAATTTGACAGTAATTAGTCCTATTTTGGGAATAAAAACATGAAAGTCCTATTTTGGAATTTTCAAACTTTTTTAGTCCTATTTCGGGAACTTTCCCTAATAAATATTTTATTACTTTTATCAATGATAGCACTCGCTATAACTATGTTTATTTATTGAAAAATAAACACGAAGCAATCGATAAATTCATTCTTTATAAGAATGAAGTGGAAAACCAACTTAATCGACAAATTAAAACGGTTAGGAGTGATTGAGGTGGTGAGTATGAAGCACCAATTGGTGACTTTTGCGCGAGCGTGGGTATAGTACACGAACTTGCCGCACTCCATTCACCTCAATCAAATGGTGTTGCCAAACGAAAGAATCGCACATTGAAATATATGATGAATGCGATGCTAGTAAGTTCGGGTCTGCCACAAAATATGTGGGGCGAAGCAATCTTGACAAGCAATTACCTTTTAAATAAGGTTCCCCGGAAAAAATATGACAAAACTCCGTATGAGTTGTGGAAAGGTAGACGGTCTTCCTATCAATATTTAAAAGTGCGGGGTGTCTTGCAAAGGTGCTTGTACCAACACCTAAGAAAATAAAAATAGGTCCAAAAACGGTGGATTGTATTTTTATTGGATATGCACAAAATAGTAGTGCTTATTGGTTTTTAGTGTACGATTCGAATAATCCGGATGTACATAAAAACACAATAATTGAATCAAGGAATGCATCATTCTTAGATGACGTATTTCCATGCAAGTCCAGCGATGGACCTAGCACATCAAAACGAGCATTTGATGTAGCTATGGAAAATACTAGCGAGGGGTCCGGTGAAGAAGCCGAACCCAGACGTAGCAAGCGTGCTAGATTTCAAAAATCCTTCGGACCGGATTTTCTCACATACTTGGTAGAATTCGACTCCAACATTCTAACATGTATGGTAGAAAATGAACCGGATTTTCTAACATGTTTGGTAAAAAATGAGCCACGGACTTATACGGAAGCCGTGACGTAATCCGAAGGTCCAATGTGGAAAGAAGCCATCAAAAGTGATGTGGATTCGATCCTACAAAATCACACGTGAGAATTGCTTGATCTTCCTGCGGGATGTAAACCTTTAGGATCCAAGTGGGTTTTTAAACGTAAAATGAAACCAGACGGTTCCATTGATAAGTACAAGGTCAGACTTGTAATCAATGATACAAGCAACGTGAAGGACATGATTACTTTGACACATATTCTCTTGTGACGAGAATAAATTCCATTAGGATGATACTAGCAATTGCTGCATTGCGAAATTTGGAAGTTCATCAAATGGACGTAAAAACGCTTTTCTAAATGGCGATATAGATGAAGAAATCTATATGGAACAACCCGAGGGTTCCAGGCCAAGAAAGGAAACTTTCTAAATTAATTAAATCATTGTACGGATTGAAACAAACCCCTAAACAATGGCACGCAAAGTTCGATCATGCAATGTTAATTAATGGGTTTAAAATAAACGAAAGTGACAAATGCCTCTATGTGAAGAGCACAGTACACGGCTATGCCTTTTTATGTTTATACGTGGATGATATACTCATCGTGGGTAGCAATAATCTAATGATTAATTCTACCAAAAGCATGTTAAATTCTAAATTTGACATGAAGGATATGGAGCTGGCCGATTTAATCCTTGGGATTAAAATAATTAGAGGACCTGATGGTCTTACGCTAAACCAATCCCATTACGTTGATAAAATTCTTACTAAATTTAATAAGGATGAATATCAAGAGGCAAGGACGCCATTAGATAAAAACGTACACCTTACCAAAAATCGTGGATAGTGTATTTCTCAAGTAGAATACACTAGGATTATTGGAAGTTTGATGTATCAATGAGTTGTACCAGGCCTGATATTGTCTTTGTGGTTAGCAAGCTGAGTAGATATACTAGCAACCCCGATGATGAACACTAGAAGGCAATAGTAAGAGTTTTGAGGTAATTGCGAAAAACCCAAAACCTTGGACTGCACTATGGAAGATATCCAGTTGTACTTGAGGGGTATAGCGACGCTAGTTGGATATCTAACATTAAGGACTCAAAGTCCACAAGTGGATATGTATTCACTTTGGGAGATGCAGTCGTGTCATGGAAATCTTCGAAACAAACGGTAATAGCTAGATCCACGATGGAATATGAGCTAATAGCCTTGGATAAGTGCACTGAAGAGGCTGAATGGCAGCTTCTTCTTTAGGCAGCCAATAAAGACCATGTTTACCCTTTCCATGCCTACCAATCCCGAGTTACCCCTGGTCCGGTTTGGCACAAGAGTATGGGGCATTGTGGTGATAGAGTTCTTGGTCGTCATAGGCAGCAAAATTTAATTTCTAGTTCTTCTTTTTCTTTACATGATTGTGTTTCTTGTAAGTTGGGTAAATCCCACAGACTCCCTTTTAGTGATGCCACTCATGACTCTACACCACCTTTACAAATTATTCATTTTGATATTTGGCAATTGCCAATTTTTATCTAATCTTGGTTATAAATATTACGTGTCTTTTATTGATGATTTTTCTGGATATACCTGGGTTTATCCTATGCGTAGAAAATCTGAGGTGTTTACTCATTTTTCTAATTTTCAAAAACTGGTAGAAAATCTTTTGAATTTGAAAATTAAAGTTTTTCAGAGTGACGGTGGTGGCGAATTTGGTAATTGCATTTTTAGACAACATTTTTTAAAATCCGGAATTTTGTTTAGAAAGTCTTGTCCTGACACTCCCGCTCAGAATGGTGTGGCTGAAAGGAAACATAAACATCTCCTAAAATTAACTAGAACTATGTTAATTGACTCTTCTATTCCTGGTCACTTTTGAGTAGATGCGTTGTACACCGCGTTGTGTATTATTAATCGTCTTCCTACACCTATATATTCTGAGTGGGCTTACTCCGTATGAAAAGGTTTTTAATAAAATTCCAGATTATAATTTTTTACGTGTTTTTGGGTGTTCAAGCTTTCCCAACTTCATTGATGCGTCTCATAACAAGCTCTCACCCTGCTCCATACATTGTGTTTTTCTCGGATATGCCCCGGGCTACAAAGGCTATCGTTGTCTCTCTCCTTCTACCGGTAGAGTCTATGTCAGTAGGGATGTTATTTTTCATGAAAACAATTTTCCATATCCCATATTGGCTAATAACCCACTATTCCAACATCTACATTGCCATCTTCATGGCTAGCTATCTTCTTCCTCTCATTAGTTATCACCTGATCTGCCTCCTATCGGCCTTACCTCCAGCCTCATACCCAGTCTCCCCACTTCTCTGTCACATGACTACACACCACTCCCACCAGTTAATACTCCAACACCATCCCCATCATTACCCGCATCACCACCAGCCACACTCGTCCCCCCATCCCCAGAGGGTTCTACCGAGACATTACCCAGCCCAACCAGCCTTGAACCCGCTGGCTCGAATTCCCAACCGTCGGTCAATACTGTTGTTGTATCACCCACGACCAGCAGCTTGCCCCATGCTCCCATCAATATCCATCACATGCGCACTCGTGCCAAGGATGGTAATTTCAAACCAAAACCAATTTTTAACTTAAGTGTTTTTGCTCTCTCCGATGATCCGACTTGTTTTACACAGGCTAATAAAAGTATTGTTTGGCGGGCAGCATATGGCTGATGAATTTAATGCTTTAATTGCTAATAAGACTTGGGAATTGGTACCGTGGGACCGTACAAAAAATGTGGTTGGTTGTAAGTGGCTTTATAAGACAAAATATCTTTGTGATGGGTCTATTGAGCGGCATAAAGCTCGGTTAGTTGCTCAAGGTTTTAAACACCATGCCGGCATTGATTTCACTGAAACTTTTAGTCCTGTTGTTAAACTCATTACTATTCATCTTGTTCTGTGTATTGCTATTTCTTTAGGATGGTATGTTAGACAACTTGATGTGAAAAATTCTTTCTTACATGGTTATGTGACTGAAGATCAGAGGTATATATGCGTCAACCACAGGGCTTTGTTCATCCATCTTTTTCTAATCATGTTTGTCGTTTACGCAAGGCTCTGTATGGATTAAAACAAGCTCCTAGGGCCTGATTTCATCGTTTCAGTGGTTTCGTATTGAGTCATGGTTTCACTCAGAGCAAGTCTGATTCATCCATGTTTATATACCGCTCTCAGTCACAGGTTGTCTATATTTTTTTATATGTGGATGATATTCTGATCACATGTTCCTCTCCCTCGTTTGTTAAGAATGTCATACATAACCTTTCTCTACAGTTTGCTATGAAGGATTTAGGAGACCCTCATTATTTTTGGGGTATCCAGGCCCGACGCACACCTCACAGCTTATTCTTGTCCCAGGAAAAATATATTTCTGATCTCTTACACCGTTTTCATCTCCATACCGTTTTCAACTCCACTTCCATCACGCACCACCCTCTCTCACAGATGGGAAACTTTTATCTAATGCTGCTGAGTATCGCAGCATGGTAGGGGCTCTTCAGTACTTAATTATAACTAGACTTGGCATTACATATGTTGTTCATCTGGTGTCTCAGTTTATGCATGCTCCACATACTACTCATTTATTGGATGTAAAGAGAATTTATAGGTATCTACAGGGCA